TTCCAGATAATCCTAACTATAGAAATGGAATAAAGATGTCTGTAAAACCTGTAACAGTATTTATTCTGAAGCCATAATCCTGTGGTACACAAAATGAGACAGGGAGGGAAGACTGGAATGTACTTTTCTCTCTTCTAGGAATGAAAAGAGTATGATGAATGGCTGTTCCAAAGATCCTCACAATCAGCAAATTTCATACAATAACATATATGACATGATCAAAAATAAGGTGGAAGGTCATGGCTGATAAACACTTGGGCTACTAGGGTGAAGACAAAGGAAGAGCAAGCTGTGAGCCAGTGCCTTTGCTAGATCCTTAGTTGTGCGGTTTAATCTAAGTCTTTGCAACCATTTCACACAACCATTTCATTTCACACAATCGAATGTCCTAATTCCCCTGCACATTTGTATGGGTCCTTAAATATAATGGTCTATTTTAAAATAAATAAAAACTTGTTTTCAAAACAACCTTTCTCTTACATGTCTAACATTTTTGTCTAAGAATCTTGCACTTGTGCCTCTGCATTTCAAATAAATGTTGGGCATTTTTTTCTCTATTTTTAATCTGCAGGCCATTCCAGACATTCCTGGTATTAATAGTTTACTAATTTATTTCCTCATCTAAGTGCATCAAAGTTATGGCATGCAGCATATATTTTGAATCCTGATACCACCCACCTAGAAATTACTCAACAGGTGTCATCTGTATTAGCAGCTTCATCTTCAAATAAGGGTAAATATAGCGTTTGATAAGCTCCTACAAAGTAAGTGCTATTTTTTTTTTAAATAACAGCACTGAGTTTGTAGGAGTTTATCATTAGAAAAAAAAATAATAACCATGACTTTGACACTGGGATTCATTGAATAAAAATAATACTAATAATAAGTTGGTAAAAATTCATATTTTTCTTAAATATGTGACTTTTATATCATATTATTTGAAAGAGTAAGATATATGTATATATGTGTAAATTTATTTAATATTAGGTACTATATATAATAATATACTTGTTGAATTTTCTTTATTATAATGACACCATTAGAGAAACACATAAAGCATACATTAGTAGTATCTATTCTGAAGTCATTACACATTGATTTTAACTCCTTCAATTTCTGTTTAATCTATTTCAAATACCCACATCTTAACCTAATCATATTCCCTTATGACACATCACAAAGGAATATGTCTCCCCATTCTTTCCTGATAGTGGATCTCCTATGTGGACTTTGAAATTTCCTCCTCCATGATTTCCTTTAGGATTTCACATCATCACTTATCACCCCACTCCCCTGGACCCAATCTGCCTGTTTACTGCTTTCTTCTTGCTTCCTTCCTTCCTTATAAAAAACTACACTCAACACAGCCTTTCTCTTGAACTATATATAATTTTTCTTCTCTTCAACAGGGCACTCCTAGAAAAATTATTTATAACTCTATAGATATCTGAATCTCTTATTTACTTGTTAACACACTATCACTCTACAGAAAGATCATCACATTCTCACATTCACATCACCCGTGCCTGTACAATTACCAATACTAACTTTCTCATTCCAGCATACCAAGTATATGGCTAGGTAGGATTTGACAGCATCTGTCATGTTTAGCTCATCTCACTTCTTTCTACCTCTCTGGGCTAGTGCAAGTACCATAGCTGCAACTGTTGTATTTACTCGAAGGATTAACAACACATGTCTGTGATCCACTTGCTTAATGATGGTCTCACATTCTTCTGGCTCTTTCTCCCTCCTGATTCCTACATATCTGTCTGCCACATAAATGTTGCTATCCTCATTATAAGACCCTTAGCTTTTTTCACTGTTGACTTCACACAGACTTCCTGCAAGGTCTCATCCTTGCCCATGGCTTTAACTATTAACTATGTACTCAGTAGAGTTCAACCAAAGCTTTTCTCTGACATTTAGAAACATATGTCTAATTGCCTAAAATCACCTCCTACTTACTCTCCATGTCAAAATATTAATGTATCATCTTCCTCCCTTCATATTTTAGGCTGTTTTCTCCAACAACAATACTGACCTTACTTAATAGTAATTACTTACTCATTTATACCACAACATTTGGGGGCCTTTTAAAACTCCCTGTTTAAAAACAAGTGGATGATCCTCCACATCCCTTTGGCAGAAAATTCCCAGAAAGAATAGGGTGATTTAAAAATATATATTTTATCAAATGATGCCACAGCCCAACTTCAAAAATCTTCCAGGTTACTCAACTAAGTTAGAACACCATGCAAACTCCTTATTTGGGCCCAACATCATCATGCTTTCATCCTCCCCTTCAAACAGCTCTGACTATACTCAAACCACAGGGCATCTATCTGCCTGCATCTGGAACACACTAAGTTCACTCTCTGCTCAGTCTTTTTCTTGCCTGTGCAACTGTAGTACTGTTATTATCTAGACTGCACCTCTGATCTTCATATGTAGTTCTTTCAAGTGTCCCTATACCTAGTACTTTAGGTGCTGGATAAACTTTAGCTAAGTGTGATTTAGTTAACTGTTAGGAGAATTCATTAATGTAATATACATTCATGCCTCACAAGAAAACATATTAATCCAAGATTAAAATGATTCATTAAATATCATCAAGTTTGAAACTTAAAGACAATCTATGACTACCAAATACAGTGACTTAGTTTTACCTTACTTTTTGTTATTAAACACAAAGAGCAATCAATGTCACAAAAAGAAGAAGATATGATAAAAGTAGGTGTATGAACAAGGACAGAACTCATTGTTACTAATGCAGAACCTCCTGATGTTGTGCAATAAAAGTCGACATCCTGTTTGGAGTAGAAATGAAATTCATAAGCCTAGTCATGCTACCATAATTCTCTTTACTTTCTTGTCTCCCTCACAGTGGAGCAATTCCATTCATTAATAACATAGTACCACTGCAAATTCTGAAGAACAGAAGAAAAAAATACTTCAATCAAAAAGTTGCATTTGTTTCTTTTATATTCTGAACCAACACACTGTGGCTATGCCAATTTCAGATTCAAAATTCAAACATAAGAAGAAAAGGAAGATTCGAGTCATTCTTATTCAAAATTTAATGTGATTCTGACTAATAATTTTTGTCTGGGGAAAAAAAAACACTTTTTTCATAGCATTTGCAATATCTCAGACTTTGGTCTTTCTTTTTCTATTTCTTTTTTAAGTTTGACTATTAAGATAGGATGCATCCTTGAAATTACATGGTATGTTAGAGCTAACAAGGAGTAAAAAAATATAAAAATTTCACAAAGTCTTATACGAATGAAAATACTTTCACATATTTGTTGAATCTCTAGCTATAGATGCTTCAGACAAATATCTAAGGATTATATCTATAATCACCAGCTTTTGAGTCTGATTTTTTTTCTGTCATAGAGTACAAACTTACTCAATTATTGGATTCTCTGTATTCAGAATCAAATGGGAATGACAGCAGAGTAGGTAAGAGTCACTAGATTTAAATATCTTGTAGTATGGAACTCGTCTTTTGGTTTGAATATTAAAAGCAAAACCAATGAATGTTAGGATTAAAAAACAATATATGATTTTCTGGGACTATAGAGCTTTTCAATATAAAGCCCTAAAAATATTTTAACAGGTGTCAATCAATGCATGTGCTCTTTATAAAGTTTATGGCAATGCTACTCTGCATTTTTTTCAGCTTAATTAATAATAATGTTAATATACATATTTTATTACCACATTCTAATTAAAGCTTATTTTGCAGATGAGAAAGTCAAGGTTCAAAGAGGTTACATGTTTTTCCAACATAACATAGCTATGAGTTAGTAGGGTCTGAATATATTCTATCTCGGCTTGCTCTCAGTAAAACTTTAGAAAACAACTTCAATTAATTTTCAGAGTTATGTTTGTGACCAGAGTAATCGGATCAGGAAATTTTCTTAAAACTGAAATATTTTATTGAGAACCTTTCTTTTATAGTGATGGTTTCATAACAGCGAGAGAGATTTCATGACATCTTTATAGGTCTTTGGAGTGCTTCTTTGAGTGAAAGAGACAAGCTAATTACTCATTCCTTAAAAATAAATCCCTTTTATTATTTTGGATTTCAGTTTTCTGACATTAAGTAATGCAGGTCAGCAGATTTTAAAAGTTCACAAGTTTTTTTTTTTCATTCTTCCAAGTATCTGACAATTAAGAATTTATTAAGTTCATTCTAAGTGTCTATTCTGTGCTAAAAAGAAGCCTCATCTTGTGGAGTGTGGCTATCATTCATGATTATATCTACATGATAAAACTTCACTTAAGGCATTTGTGTTTTAGGTTGTCCTATAAAATTAAGTTGTGGCTATTTAATTATAAAAGTGATTTTTATCCCAGCAGTTTATCAGTCTATGATTTTATTATAAAACTTGAAACTTTACTAGGTGGTGAAAATAAGAGATAGCTGGGGGAGAGACAGACCTCCAGTTTGAGGGCTTTCTGGAACATGCTGTGAATCACATTTCAAAACCAGTCACTGCTCAGCAAACTTACAACAGCAATGGCTTCAGAAATATTTTGGATAGTGTCAAACAGCCCATGTGCTTCATTGGATTTCTTTATGAACAAAATAAATACTATTCATATATTTTTAAAATGCACATGGCAAATACTGTTCTCACAAATAGTTGTTGAGATAAAAAGGTAACACTTAAAACTGAAATTTAAAACCATAAAGAACAGAGACCAGAATTAAATTATCCAGAACATCAGAATGACAAAAGTCAAGGATCTAAAAACACCTGGAAATATGTCATACAGGATTCCGAGTTATTTAATTGTACTCATGTTATCATATGCATAAACTGTATCCATAGAAATCCAGAGACTCTCATGCATATGACAGAGTGTGATCAAATGGTTTCTTCAACAAGCAGGAGGGCATGCCAAGAAATTTCTAACCCATTTACAAATGTAGTTAATTCTGGAAATGATGATAAGCATTATATATTGAGAATAAATATGATTCTTACCATCTGAGACTGACTTCTAGGACATCCATTGATATCTTCAACTTTTTCATTTGCTAAAGCCAAGAAATAAAATGAAAGAGAGAAAAAAGGACAACATGCTTAAGCAATGAAGTAAAACAGAAAAAAAAAGAGATTTAAAAAGAAATAAGCAAAAATGTTGCTGCTAAATTTACTCGATCTCCCAAGCCAAGTACAATAGGACACACTTGTTAGCAGCCACCAATTCCACATGCACAAATCAAGGGGGAAAAAAAAATGAGTGAGAAGGAAGTTGCTGCTAATTCTTTCACTTGTGCCAAATGACTGCTGACATGAAACCTTTCACAATTGTCCCTGCTGGATCAAGATACAGTTTCAAGGAATCTCAGAGTGTATGAGTTGCTCCCGCTAAAGAAATGCACACATGGGAGACATATGGCTTAATGAAGCATTCATTTCTGACAATTCCGTGTATGTAAAGATACAATTCTAGCTATTGAAAAGTATGGCCAAACCGTCCTTCTCAAACATCCTCACATAAACATGTTTAATTAAATCAGGGGAGAGCCACATTCATCTCCAAGACACATGGAACAATTCGCTATGCATTCTACTTAAACTTTAATTTACCAAAGGGGTTGAGAGCAGAGACTCTCATGCTTCCTCTCAGAGGGCAGGTCTTACCAATGATCTGGATGATTTCTGCTAGCAGTACTCCATCTGCGATGTCCTGTTGCAAATCCTTGATCAGCCGCTTGTGGCCTGATTTTGCTAGGTAGTGGTTGGCCCAGTCAGTGTAAATCTGATGAACAGAGGGAGGGAAGAAGTGAGATGGGAGAGGGAAAAGAGAGACAATAAAAATTCTTAAGACAAATGTTGGATCCAAAGGGAAGCTATTCTGGATCACATTCCAGTTTAAGAAGTCATAGCTCAAAAGGAAATAGTTGTAAAATAATTTTGAAACAGTTCTTTCCCCCACTTATCTCTTGTTTCAAAGGAGGATGATTCACGCTTTCAAAATCAGGGACTAGTCACTTGTGACAGAGCAAAACTCCCCTTCCTGGATGACTACCGAGGAAACTTCTATAGCAGATCAGTTTGGGTTCTCCTCTCTCTCTCTCTCTCTCTCTCTCTCTCTCTCTCCCCCCTTCTCCTATCCTTTTGAAAATAATCCTGCCTGTCAATGTAAAAGGAAGCCACCTGGACTGATTTACACAGGAACTTTATAAAGTTTTGTGTTTTTCTCTGAGACTTTATTGAATTTGTCATATGAGATACTGTATGTGACAATATTTTGGCATCGTTTTATAAAATAATTACAAATGCCTTCCTGTCTAAGATACTTTGTTTGGACTGTCATCTCTCATTTAAGCCTCTTGAAATGTGTTTATATTAGAGAACATAGGCAGCCAATGTAGTTATAATACATAAATTACAATATAGAACTGAGAAGCAGATTGCAAGCCACAAGGCTGGCAATTTGACATAGATTGGAGGTGACTCTTCAGCAACAGATCAGAATATAAGGAAAAGCTGAAACTGTTCAAACATTTCACAAAAATAATTGTTACTAATTTTTACCTATTAATGCAATATAATGATAACATAACCATAGAAGAAAGAAATAAGCATGAAGATATTTCAATTTCATGCATGGCTCATATGGATATTTTAGTTTAGTACAAGGCAGACCAGGATGTGATGTAACAAAAATGAAAAATCTGAAATGAGAATGGAAGAGGGAAAATAAATAAAAAATATACACATAAAATGTTAATAGAAGCACTGGAATTAGATCTGGGAATATAATGGAACCCGACCATGAAAAGTGAAGGTAAGGGATTCTCCACAGAGAGTATAAAATATGGAAAGGCAGAGGGGCAAAAGAATGTAAGACAGACCATAAACTCTGTGACTTTATGCTTAAAGCTAAGACAAATTGTACTGAAAAGATGAGTTGTCATATTCATGAACAAGGAGTGCCAAGCAAATTATGCAAACTATTTTTTTAAATTTATAATAGATAATTTTGCAAGAAATAAATAACTCAGATGTATAGAACTTAAAAGTGAAAGTTTTCCTACAACTTGAAGCCCCTGTCCACTTGTGAATAATTTGGCAAAAAGAGTTCTAGAATTGGTATGTCTACACCATAACTTACCATCCTACAGCACAGTATGTGAACATACACCCAGATCACCCCCTTCCCCCACACACAATGGAATTTTTAACTAGATATGACTCAAATTGTACATATAGTATCATCTTGCAATTTCAATTTTTTATGTAATAATATTTTGATGGTTCTTCTAAATCCCATTCACATATATTGATTTCACTATTTTTGATATTACGTGATACATTAAACAATCTCCTGCTGAAAAACATCTAATTTGTTTAAATATGCCTTTATTACATATAAGTTGTAAGAGACAGCCATACATATCTGTATCTATCCAATCTATCATATATATGTTTATATATATATATACACATGTGTGGATATATATACACGTGTGTGTATTGTATTTTTATAAGACCAAAACCTAGAATTGGGATTGTGAAATTTTTTAAAAAATAGATCCTAGGTAAAAGCATCCTAAAATTACAACAGAAAAAAGAAAGTATTTGCTTTAGAAAACAGAGTGTCTTCTAATGCATATCTAGGAATGGCTAAATTTCCAGAAAGATGTGAATAACTGGATGCACCCATTTACATGATAATATATAGGACATATCCATGATCTCTAAATTGAATACATTAAAGTGTAAAGAAAATTTCTTGTATGATTGTCTCCCAAATTAGAACATAAACTCATGGTTTACAGTTAAATGTTCTTTATTTGGTGGTCATTTTCCTTAACTAAGACTATGTTATATTTGTATGGTTGTATAGTGCTGTGTGTGTATGTGTGTGTCTGTGTGTCTGTGTGTGTGTGTGTGTGTGTGTAAGGTTTTATATTGTTCAGAACTTCAAATATTCTTTTGATGATGTGCATCTACACATCATTAAAGAGAGAGAATTCTTTGCCTTTCTACTATAAACTTTGGGTTCAGTCAAACTTCATTCGTGCCAGTTTCTCCATAGGCAGGAGCCACAAGTGCCATGGCTTAATGTTAAAAGAAGCATAAAGATGAGCAGAATGAATTGGGGAGTCAGATGGAGCTGGCTCTGAAGCCCATCAGACCATTTACTACTGCTGGGACCTCAGGAAAGTTATTTAGCCTTTATAACCTTTGATTTCTCATCTCTATTTCAGGATGATAATAATACATTACATCATTATGTGAGGAGTAAATAAGACAGTGCCTGTAAAGCATATGTCACAGGGTTAATCCTAAGAAGAAATCACTGCCATCATTTCCAGCATCTTGGCATTTAGCTTTATTTTGCTATGATACCTTTCCAACAGATACTTGTGAAAGTTTTTGTTTCACAGTGTATAAATAATTAGAAGACTGGCAATAGACTGAGGAAATTGGGGTTTTTGTTTGTTTGATTGATTTTGTTTTCTTCTGGAACTACTCTTATCTCTGACTCCTTTTATCTTCCAGTTCACAGGGGGCACAGATCTGTCGGGCCATCTGAACTCAGGAGAATCTATGTATGTCTGAGGCGGCCATGTTCTCATCCAGTCCTGGAACGTCTCTATTGAGACACCACCTCTACATTGCATGAATTTTGTTTAATGAAGGCATTCAATTATGGAAAAAATACTTATTTAAATAACACAGAGTGGAATTCATTGATAATATAAACAAGAATACTTTCATTCTCTAAGTGTATGTCAATGGTTACTTAGCCTTTATCCAAATATCTCCTAAAACAGGTAGAAAACAGATGGAAAGACAGCTAGTTGGCTTGAAAATCTTATAAGGGAAGCTTCTGATTTAATGCAAAAATCACTTTTTACTTCTTCCAGGATTTCTTCCAATCCCAAGCTTAAAGGCTTTACTTGTCCAGTATCTCTTAATAGACTATAATTCTAACTTTGGTGGCAATGAGAGAAATCAATGACTAAGTAAATTAATTGAAAGAAAATTTCTACTTAAAAAGTCTCATACACTTTTAAAATTTAATTATTTTTAATAAACACATGTATCTTCTAGAAGTAAAAGAAACTTGCCATTGTTCAATGAAATCAGAGAAAAGGGAAACTAGTGTCATTAAAGGGGATGTTATAATCTAGAAGTAAAATATGAAATGATTACAAAGCAACACATAAACATGCTCTTTCTTTTAAAATATTACATACATACATACATACTCATATTTATATTTCGCTTTCTTCTTAGATTTTATGTATGTAAGATAAATAAAAGAGTGGACAAAGTGGAGTACATATTTTTTTTAAAGAGAGAGAGAGAATTTTTTAATATTTATTTTTTCAATTTTCAGTGGACACAACATCTTTATTTTTATGTGGTGCTGAGGATCGAACCCAGCACCGGGGGTATGCCAGGCGAGCATGCTACCACTTGAGCCACATCCCCAGCCCAGTGGAGTATATCCTTAAGGAGACAGTATTAAAGCATAGTAAACCTGGTATATTAATGTATTTAAAATTCATTAGTAAAATTTCTGTAGTGCTCTGATAAAATAGAGTATAAACAACCTTGTCAACTTTATTTAGAATCAGTTGTTCACATGAATACAAAATAATAGTGAAATTATGTTCTGTTTGGGGGTTTGAACTAAAAAGTTGTCCTTGGTTAATTAACACACACATACACAAAAAAAATCATGAGTATTTAACCTCTTACCTTCAGTTGAATGAATTATAAAGAGTGTGATCATATATTTTGTAAAATTATGCTATGAAATAATTATGAATTTTAAATAAAGAATGGGTATCATTGGAAATAATATTAAATTAATCACCACTCAATGTTCTATATTTTCTGTAAGTGGGTCATTTGGGATCTTATTTATCTGTGTTTTGATCAAAGGTCAAATATCTAAAGCAATTTTCTTCAAATATTTTGATTAAATGTAATGTTATAAACATGAATTTCGTCTCAATAATAGTATATATATCAGAAAAATTAAGAGAATTAATGAAATTACATTTACTAAAGGGCTACTTAGAAATTTTAGTACAACTGTATATATGATACTTCATTTATACTAATTAAAAATAACAAAATAATAAAAATCAAAGGTACTACAGCATATTTTACATATTATTCAATATGAATTTTAGGGCCTATTAGACAATGGCATGCATTCTTTAGGGGAACATTCATTATCACTAAATGTCAGTGCCATTTAATACCCCAGTGGATACTGACTAAACATCTGTTTTCATTCAATGTCAGTTTCCTTATCTATTAAATGGCAATGATATTCTTATCTCTAAGTGGGATTATTGTGAGGATTGAATGAATTCAAACTTAGGAATCGGGCCTTTAACTTGATATACATTTGTTAAATGTTAAAATATTATTACTAGTCCATTGCTTTAATTTGAAATATATGTACATTAATTTTAATGAGAAGTTTAATTTTAATGTGAGCCATTACCATTGTTGAATCCTTAAACTTAGCTATCTCTTCAAATATAATGAACCTAACTAATCAAGAAAAATTGCTGCAAGTAGTAATGACTTCTGAGCATAGTTCTGTGCCCTTACAATATTGATTTTACAAAGCTCACTTTTCATATAAAATGAGATGGCAAACAGAAGATGATAACATACAGCACCATATTGCTTTTGTGCAGTGAAACTCACTGCAAAACAAAGCAGAAGGTAGACTTTGATTCTCCATAGAGTCCTAAATATCAGTTGGTGATGATTTAT